TCATTTCCACTGAAGTAGATTATTGTCCATTAATAAACAGCAGAATTTTCGTATACACACACACATATATATATATATATATATATATATATATATATATATATATATATATATATATATATAGATGTATATAGTGTATTGTACCTCTATTGTGTATACATCATGTATTTATTCATCATGTATTATGGATTATGTACATCTTATTTATGAAGTGTATAATTTTTTCTGTGTTGTTTTCTAGTGGTGGCTCATTCATTTACTTTTTTTCATTTATGTTATTTTATAGCCCCCCTTACACAATGTCCAAGAGGCCTGTGAGAAATTTCCAACAAATACAATATTAAATATATTGGGCAATCTCCATATTCTCACGTAGATGCTAACCATCTAAGTATTTCCCTTCCTCTTTTCTCTTCTCTCTCTTTCTATCAATATTTTGAGAAAGACAATGCTGATTTGATCCTACACATTCACACATGTGACTCTTACAGCAGCATTGGGCTGAGTGCCTTTTTCCCTGTCAAAGTTGTTACCTACTGACAAATGGAGAGTGATGAAGTCTGGCAGATTCCTCGAAGTGGCATGAAATAAGCAAGATATCCTGAACGTCCTAAAATTTTCGTAAGCAAAAGACCAAAATCAACCGATCCCAGAACCTGTGCAATCCGGGTAGGTGCCGAAACGATTACACAGGCTCAAATTGCGACTCTTGGCATGCATGCGTGCAGTAGAACACGGATGTCGTCAAGCGAAATCGAGCGCGAAGGTCGCTGCGTCGAGCGAAAAAAATGTATAAACTCCTCATCAAGTAACGGGATGAAAAGACTGTCTACGCTTGCACCGTGTGCCGGCGGCAACAAGTCGTTTGCTATGCGCGCACGCCCGAGCCGCGCACGGAGGCCGACAGAAGCGCGAGTCGACCCGACGGAAGCGAGAGGAAATTAAAATAGTAAGAGCGCACAAGCAACTTATGACCAGCACGCCAGGCACTTTTCTCTCGGCATTGAGTTCGTCAGAGTCTCTTCGCCTCTTTCAAACCTGTTTGCGCAGACGTACGTGTATACCTCCCTCCCCTGCTCCTCCTCCCCTAATAGCATCCCCCCTTTCAATATCGTCGAGCGTTTGTAATGCCGCCGGGTATGCGAGCATAGGCCACCGTGAAATCTGCAACTACAGGAATCTCAACTAACTGACATTTCATCGGCACTGCTGGCTTGTCAATCGTGCTGCTCATCAACCATGGTAAGTGGCCTAGTTAAGCGCTAAATAGTCGATTTAGTTTATTGATTGAACTTATCCAAGTTGGTTACTGGAATCTTCCTCACGAATAGTTAACTGATACACTCATTCAAACCTGTTTAGATATCTCCTCATTAGCATACGGCGTAACGTAACGAGTCTTTGCGAAGCGCTGTTGTCGTGTAGGTACGCCAGGCCTACCTTGAGCTGGAATTAAGGTAAAAGCGAAACTGCCTCATAGACATACCAACATGCAACAGCAGTGAAACTCGCCCCGATATCTCGTGCAGCGAGAGAGTAAACTGTTGCCGTCGTGCCTTTGCTGGCGCTGCCTTCAGGCATATGTATTGCAAGAGTACCTTTGTTCTGAATCTGGTCGTTCCGCTAATGGTTGCACGGCGAAGTGGCCCCGTTGCAAGCGTAAACAATGCGGACCCGTTTGAGACAATGGAAAAGTGAAATGTTCCTTTAGAGAGGAAGGGAGGAAAATATACACTTTGCTTGGAAAACATACAGTAGCTTTGCTTCTCCTGTAGCATTGCGTCACAAAAGATCTCTTTATCGAGAGATTATATGCATTACGAAACACCAGACGGAGCGCCAGAATATATGATGGTAAATCAGGGTCTGATGTGCTTTGAAAACTAAGACTAAGCAAACAGGGCTTGCTCTCTTTGTATATTGAGAAGTAGGCTATTAGTGCAGTATTGACCAACGTTTCTTGCCGCAGAAATTTGTGGTCGCTGAACTGTTGCTCCGATTCTACATTCCAATTTACCTTCAATGCTTACAGGAATATTTAGGAATATCATGTCAAGATCTCGAATGTGAAATGTTTTGGGGGCATGAGTTATTCGAGGGTATTTATTGGGACTGTGTAGTATTGTTGTCCGTCTGATCATACAACACGGCCTTACAAGCAGTGGACCATTACTTGACGAAATAACAGCGTAACAAATATGCATGCTATCCTCAAGTATTCATGTCATCTAGCCTAAAAATAACTCTTTCATTGTGGGTGTATGTAAAACCACGCTTGCCGAAATGTCCTCTGTTTACTTCGACCGGCCATTTCGAATCTAGCATTTTGAAAATGTCCCCATGTGCTTCACTTTTTTCCATGTATTAAAAAAAATGATCATTAAGTGAGGAGCTGCCCGCAAGACCATTTATTATATGTCCAATCTTTTACATTGAAAACAATAATTTATATCAACACGCATAGATTACCAAGTGTTCTACTGAGATAAAAGAGTGAAAACGATCGTATAGTTCATATGTACTTCATTTAGGTTAACAATTCGGATTCTACTAGTTCATTAGCGGGACGAGTATGGTGTTAATACACAGCTACTGCCTGTACAATGAGGCAACATTGACGTTCTCCGGATGCACCTGACAATCACAGAAATTGTCCCATTTTTATGAGCAAATACAGCGTCTATAATGTACATCAGCAAGCCTATCAAACTCTAAATGTTCGTGTGAAATAAGCTTCGCTATCCAAAATGTGACAAAAGTAACATTATTGCGGGCGCGATTTACAACATTTCTACTCATATTCAGCATCACCGTGGTTTTTGGTTAGCTCTCTGTAAACTGTTAAAAAGCCACCACTACGAGGTCCAGTCCAACGGGAAATTCAGCACTGCGTCTTTAAAATTGACATCTCGAAGCACAATTTGATTTCTTTTCCACCCACATATTCCTACTTCGTCAAAGAGAGAACATATCTGTAAAACACTGTATAGTCGTCGTGAGCATTTGCTTATTCGAGTATTCTTCAAAAGCCCACACCTGCCAAGAAATGTCCAGCTTTTTCTATCGTCATTGCTCACCGACTTCGCCAGCTGTATCCTACATCAATGCTTGCCATTAACCTACGGTTCGCCATGCTCCTTTATTGGATAACTGCAGCAGCCCCAATTGTTCACTGTAAAGACATATTCATCCAGCTGTACCGTGCTATTCATTACGCATCCCAATTACGCATCCCAACAGTCGTAACTGCCATTATTAGGGTGAGACGGGGGTGCGTTGTAGTAGCACATTGATCACAAAATGCTCCTACGTTCATCCCTTGCGAAAAGTACGGACACTTGGGCGAGCTGCAACTGATTCCTGACTGGCTGTGCAATGTCCACATGCAATGTAAGAAGTCAAGAATACGTGGGCCCACGGTGTACATCTCTTTGTACGTGCGTTTAGCCAGTCATAAACCACCAAGATGTGCATACACTTCCCCAATTGCACTCGCGCTTCTGATGTGGCTGTGCTAGAGAGAAAAAAGTAGGTCATTTAATTCTGTAAAGGTTGACTCACCCGTTAAAATGTCGAGCACACGACATGTGGGTGAGAAAATATTTTTGAGCCCTCAGCCAATAAAACGCCCTGCTACTAGATCTGAAAGTTCTGCCCGGAGAGTCGCTATCGAATTAAGCGCATGCCCGATTCAATTTTTTTTTGTTTGAGGGACAGGGCACTTCCGCTTCAACCCGTTCACATGATGTTTCGTCTCCTCCAGCTCACTACATGAGCTCGGCGCTTCATGCAATATCTTCACTGATGTTTCCCGCCCGTCGACCGTCCCTCATTTTCATTGGACTAGTGGTGAACATTGGAGTTCACTCGATTTGTGTGGTACATTGTGTTTTTTTTTTGCCAATGAACAGGAAAGATAAACGTAACTCTAGTCAATGCATCGTCGCCGTAAAAATAGACCAATTTGGGGGTTTTTGCTGCGTATATAAAGTTTTGGTAGTCGTACTTGTGCATTATTGCGATTTCCCAAACACCAAGGTGTTTTGGTAGTTTCGTATAGGTGGGTCAAATGAAGTGAGATACCGGTGAAAACACACTTGTATTTTTATCTGTATCTCTGTTTTTTTATCTTCTTTGGTGGCCTCATTAGGTTCTGCTATTAGTGCGCCAAAGAGAAAAAAATGAGCTCAGGTAGCAGTCATTTAGAAAATTAGGCATGGTATATACAATGTCACTAATAAATAAACTCAGTAACTTAAGCAATCTTGCAGAACAATGACGGTAATACTTTCAGAAAAAAAAGAAGTTTATGAAAAAATCACCCCAGGTTGATAACATTGCAATCGGATAAGAATCTGATCCATTTCAAATACGCCAGAATCTCGCAGATAAACATGGTGATGAGTCTGATGACCAACAGGAGTGCTAAATATTTACAGGATACCGACTTGAACCGTGCTTCTTAGTGTGCAGCCCTACCAAGTGTTCACCAACATCGTACACGTATACTAGTCAATACAGTGACTAAATAATAATGCGTAGCTACTTCTGTATTCTCTTGTGTTAGAGCTGTCTGCAACTATCAATGAAATTCAAGAACAAACCCACTATTACTTAGGCCGATTATTTAAAAAATTTGATTATATAAAAGAATGTCACACAAGATATGCTAAAAAAGCCTGTTTAGATAAAAAATGCAAGAAACAATCTAATCAAATGCTTTATTGAGACGCCGGATGTCTTGTAATTTGGCAATGGATTACTGAAATCGATGAGAACCTACAAAATGATGTCAGTGGCTGTGCAAGTGCCAGATAATCACACACAAAGATGCCAATACACTTACGATATCAGTGTTGTAGATACCTAAGTTTGCTACTTAGAAAGAGTGATTTCTTGTGTTGAGCGGCAATTGCTCATGAAGTGTTTGAATTCATCCAACCAATGCAGCTTCGAGTGCAGCGAGACATGAACACCAATCAGACGAACATGGTGTTGCGCGCTCTTGTATCGATTTAGTGGCTCGTCAGTGGCGACATGGGTGAGTAATTATGACTGCGTTGTTGTTCCAATGTGGAAATTTTATTCCCACCAAAACTGAGTTGTACAGGCATTTGTCGTTTTTTTATACTGTGAAAAACCTACAGTCATTACGTGTTGGCACTTTAAGACGTGCGACTAATTCTTGCTGAGTATTAAGGAAGCTAGTAAGCACACCATGTTCTTTGGAACGCAGATTCATAAGCGTAATTTTAAGGGTATAGGAAGATAGCTCATGAGACCTGAGAACAAAGTAGGTAGTACGACGCCCTAGTTGACATCGAGATAACCAATTGACTAGCGCTGGCCACGTATCGCGTAACCAGCAGAGGGAACAATGTTTCGTGGTGGGAAGAAGCCAAGGTATTCGCTGACATAAAAATGAAACCAGCTTGCACAGGGCAGGCTAAGATTGTGAACTTTTCTGTGTGGTGGAACTAATCGGTTGATAAGAATGTATATGATTAGTAATTCTCTGTAAATACTGTAACCTACCCGTGACTCTATACTTTGAGCAATTAAAGCAGCTAAGTGGCTAGTAAGGAAAGTAGCTTCAGTCAAAATCGACGTCTAGAAAACAGCTGAAGTTAACAGAAATTGTAAACAGCACGATTCGTCAGCATAATATGGTATATTCGGAGAAAACTGACTGCCGAAAATTTTGTGTAGACATTTTCTTGAGGCAAGCGTAGGGGAAGAGCCTGATAACTTCCCTTGTCAAATGGCTCTTCACTTGAAGTACATGTGCACGTCCTCTACAACTGAAAAGCTGTATTGTATTTTTTGCTCAGACTGCTAACATGATCATGAAGTCGATGACATCACCATTACCTGAATGTTATGGTCAAATAATTCACACAGATGAATAAACAGAAACCTGTTTTTTTGGTTGTACCCTTTGGTGTGCACTCGTGAAGCAATGACCGTGTGAGAGCTCGCTACCTTCCTTGTTGCCGCAAATATTGTGAAATCGACGTGTAACGCTTCTGCACACGTGTTGTTTCACCACTCCTTGAAGTCGTTATTGATTGCAGTGTAGCTGTTAAAATAACAGGCAAGGTTACGTTGAGTTATGGAGAATATATATCGTTGGAGACTATTCTGGGAGCATATCTTATTAAAAGGACAAGTTTCTAAACAGCTGAAACAGTCATACAGTTGCAGTAATACGGCGAAGATCAGCTCGAGAATACGTCATAATTATCAAAAGTGCTTTTCAAAACAAAAAAAGCTGCATGATGTACCGGCAAATAAACATCGTAAATAGAACTTCAAATAATTACAGGGAAGTAATTCGGTAAAATGAACAATATAATAGCCTATAAATTGCTGAGAGAACAAATGATGGTATCTTTCAGGTCTTGTCCCCACCAATAATACCCAGACCTATAAAACGGAGCAGATTTGTTTGTTGTCAACACTACTGACCACCGATAAATAACAAGTCCTAAATATTGCGCAAACACCAAGAAACGAGCAAAGGGTGCCGTAAAAAACAGTTTTTATACATAGTTCTGGGATTAAAAGAGCGCTAGGAACATGAGAACTTATCTATAGAACAAACTGTTACTTTTTAAACGAAGCAGTTCGCTCAGACGCCCACCAAGTAGACTTGTTAAAGAACACAAAACGCACACTGACTGCTTTAATGTATAAAGGCGCTTATGATGTACCACCAAAGAAGCTCTACTTGATTTCATTTTGTTATTGAGGTGGCGAAGTTACGTGATTGACACTTGTCGTCTTCCTAAGGTTCGCTTCCTTTTTGTTGTAAGCTTTCGCAGTTTTGTCTATTACCAAAGTGATTTTACCTAAAGTAGTGTCCTCATGAGACTAAAGCAATCTAGGACCAATACTCTACAGCCTCATTCATACTCACTTTTAATGTGTCTTTCAGTACGGCACCTGAAAAAAAAATGCAGCAACTTCCTCAACAACTCGCTATGAAATCTTTGTGAGTAAACGCAAACAGCTGCGAGACAGAAAATGAAGCAAAGAATACTTTATCGGTTCTTGGGTCATTCACTTCACTGGAAGGCTGTTGACGCCTGGAATATCGTACACGAAGCGTGGCAAAACTGACAATACCATGTGTTTGTCAAAGATTAATCAGCAAGCTTAGAACATACCGTATAGTGGCTGACTGCGCCAGGAATGTAAAATGATTAGTTCACACAATGTCGTTTTACTCACACCTGCGAACACGGCGAAAAAAGAACATTGCATGATTTTTGTGCTTGAGCATCCTCGACTTCGTTGGAATAGAAAGTGAACGAAATTGTTATTTTAAAGAGCAAAAATTGAAAAAATAAAAAAATAAGCAAACTACAGCTGAGAGTTATGTTCAAAATAAAAAACAATATCTTTAACTACATGTGATAATTCAGGCAAAACTTCTGACGTGCTTACGTTTTTCTGAGCTCATTCTTTTTTCACACTCCGCCGCGGGAGTCTAGTGGCTAATGTACTAGGATGCTGACCGGCAGGTTGCGGCATCAAATTCTGGCTGCGGCAGCTGCATTTTCGATGGAGGCGAAAATGTTGTAGGCCAATGTGCTCAGATTAGGGCACACGTTGAAGAACCCCAAATGGTCGAAATTTCCGGAGCCCTCCACTATGGCGTCTCTCATAATCCTATGGGGGTTTTGAGATGTAAAAGCCCACATATCAATGAATCTTTTTCCACATTTCTTTTCAGCAGGTTTTTTTTGTTTGTGCGCGTGAGCGACAGGATTCTAGAAGTTCAAAGAGAAAGACCTTGAAATGAAAGAAGAATTAGGTGATAAAGAACCCATCTGATTCTTGTAGTCGAGACGATTAAATGCGATGAAGTACTTTCGAGGGTCAGCCACTTTAATGCTACGTTTGAATTCGACTGCACTGAAAGACAATGTTCCATCCAATCAATCAACTTACTTTTTTTCTTTTAAAAGAAAGTAAGTGTGAAATGCGGAAATTAACACTACGAAATGCTAAATTATATAACAAGTTATTTTAAAATGGCAAAAAGTGACACTAGAATAGCAGATTTGTATGCGATAAAGCATTATGGTGAGTTTGGGGGCTATTTATAAAAAACTCAGTGCCTACACCTAATAACTCCCTTGTATTTATTTCATTTGACTGAGTCTCAGTGAACGACGTTTATACTTGCTGATGAGTGATACGTACACACTCAGGGTCGACAGCGAGCTACGCTGTCAAGGACAAGGCGACGAAGGAAAATTGCACACCACATCCTGAGCGCAACAACAAAAGCCAAACACCCGATGTGCCTCAAGAAAAGACAGCGGCGATGGCTCCTGCAACCGCTGGCAAGGCGGCCCTCAAGCGACAAGTCGGTCTTGGAAGTGCTGTCGCCCTCATTATCGGAAGTATCATTGGTGAGCCGCCTCAGCGTTTATGACGAATACAGGTCGAATGTTCGCTGGCACGGCTAGGTGGCCCATGCTAACAGTACCAGAATCGCACGTACAGAAAAGTACCTGGTGGACTTAAAACGTCCATCACCATAACTAATTTGGTGCACGATCTCACGGATTTTCGGGAAACTGTGATAACGGTCTACATGAGCGGAAAATTTATCTCGTCCACTTAGCTCATAATAACCAATATTGAAAATTATGAACTAAAAATAGCATCCAGTCTGTTTTACTAGGCTATAGCATCCCATTTCTTCATAAAGTTTGTGTCCAACAGGAAAGGGATTCTTCCACCCGTTCATTTTTGATAAGCTTCCCTTTGAATCACAAGAACTTTGTCAAAATCGCGACAAAGAAAACTGTGTAATTGAACTTTTCCGTGACTTCAGGTCCGCAAAAATTTCGTCAGACTGTGATAGCTTCATATCTGTAATATGCCTTCCTCTCCAGCATTTCCACACTTTTCGGAATGCCGACGGCCAGGCAGAAATAAAAAAATATAGATATTTCTCAGTTTCATGTGCAGAGCTCAACAGAGCCACCTCTCAGCTCAAAAGTCAGTACTTCTTAATTTCTTCTCCCTAAGGAGACTAACCAAAATTCAGACTGTCAAGCGATTTGAGCAAGCCACCCGAGCCCAAAGTCGTGCCATGAATAAATAATTGATTAATTTCTTATATTAATAAATTGAATGAATTGTTATTTTGGTGATTTGTTTGTGAAGATAAATTTGATAACTTATTAAACAAGAATTCAAGGCATGTACAAAACATGATAATAGACTCATTTTAGTATTCATTGCTCACATGCCTCTGGGTACTGGGTTTACTAGGTTGAATTCTGTTTTATTTTATGTGTTTTTATTTTTCGCAGGCTCAGGAATTTTTGTCACACCTAGCTCCGTGTTCAGGAACTCTGGTTCTATTGGTGTAGACTTGTTGGTGTGGGTTGTCTGCGGAATCTTAAGCATCATTGGTGAGTTTGTTAATACAATATGTTTGAAAGAATAAAAACGTGAACCACAAAATAAAAAAAGCGCCATTGAAACTTAATTTTGCGTATAGTTTTCTTAGGCGTAGATTATACAAGAGACTTTCAAACTGTTTGAAACAACGCTGTCTTCTCTTCACCTTTAAAGTAAGTAAGGCACTAGTTCTATGATATCAGGAGAAATATTACGTTGTTTTTAAATGGCATCACTAGCGCCGAGGTTTTAAAATATGTTAATAAACCTTTATTGCAAAATGAGTCAATGGACGTCAGGGAACTACCTACTTTCCCCATCACTACTCGGATGAAATACCTTGAGACACGGCCACAGCTGGTGCTTGACTCAAGACGTCCTTCTGGACTTCCTGGGTCCAGGGCTGCTGAGCAAGTCCTTTCAGAGGCGCTGCCCTGCAGCCCAGAGCGCGAGCTATAGCACTTTGTCATACATGAACACAGCCTGTGGGCCAAATTTGCTGCCTCATTCCGAAATTTGCGCTGTGACCAGCATGATTCCGAATTCCACTTTCTGTAGTAGAGTACCTGGTTTGGTGAAAGACTGGTCGGTAATCTTCGCCAAATCATCGTTTGTTTCTTCCTGAAGAGTATTGCCACTTCCAGATGCATTTGCCGATTTACTCTGTGGTGCACCCTCACTCCTTATTATCTGTGATAAAGCTTCAGAACCTAAAAATTAAAAGACGACTCTCCGAAAGGGACTTAGCGTTTCTATTTAAAGATGATTACAGAATCCTGGCACACAAGATTGTGCAACGACGTCTTCTTACAGAGGACAAGCGCCGCCTGCAATCAGCTCCCCGCCTCTATCGTCTCCATATAAGAAGAAAAAAGTTTCATACTCCCATCACAAGATGCCCACTAAATTTGCAAGCTTTTTTTCTCTTTTACCCTTTTACCTGTATTTGAACTCATTGTTATTTCCCTTCGTTTCTGTTGATCCTCTGGGCCATATGACTATTTTAATAAATATATTCATAAATCAACCCGTGACTTGCTAAAAGAGTTAACGCGTCTTTCTTAAGGTAGGTATATAAACCCGTGACATTGCTAAAAGAGTTAACGCGTCTTTCTTAAGGTAGGTATACTAGTGAAAGCCACATGTGTAGCAAATAAAAAGTCATACAACTATTTTTAAAGTGTATAAGCGCTGTAATACAGGTCTGTGACAAACTTACACCTTCACTTGCCGCAGGTGGACTGTGCTACGCCGAGCTGGCGACGCTGCTGCCGGCGTCTGGCGGGGACTACGCGTACCTGACGGCTGCTAGCAAAGTTCTGGGTCGCTTCGGCGACGCGCTGCCTTTCCTCCAGATGTGGTGCTACTCCCTAGTCCTGGATCCGATGAGCGCCGCGCTGCAGGGCCTCACTTTCTCGAGCTACGCGCTCAGCGTCATCTACCCTACTTGCGAAGCCCCTTACGAGACGACCGTGCTCGTAGCACTGAGCTTCACTAGTGAGTCAGATCGTCCTTGCGTTTACTGCTATGCGGCGAAAAGGTTCCAATGCGAGCGTGAAAAGAGTAGAACAGACCGGGAAAAAAAAGCGAGATAAGGTCGTCTTAGTCAAAACCAACAGCGTAAATGGGCATGGTCAGGTCATTGCCGTAGCTAGAAGACAACATAAGTATAAGTCGTTATACCTAACAGACTCGAAGTGCCTTTATTGATTGATTTGTGGGGTTTAACGTCCCAAAATCACCATATGATTATGAGAGACGCCGTAGTGGAGGGCTCCGGAAATTTTGACCACCTGGGGTTCTTTAACGTGCACCCAAATCTGAATACACGGGCCTACAACATTTCCGCCTCCATCGGAAATGCAGCCGCCACAGCCGGAATTTGATCCCGTGACCTGCGGGTCAGCAGCCGAGTACCTTAGCCACTAGACCACCGTGGCGGGGCTCGAAGTGCATTTAAAGAGAAGGCAAGCTCGTTATGGCGTGACAAAAAGTTAGGTGAGCCGACACGATTAAATAAGTTTGCGGGTATAATGTGACCTCAGCAAGCACAACACCACGTTCAGTAGAGGAACACAAGAAGGACATCCACCCTGCTGAGGGCTCAGGATAATAATCATGATAATGAAAAGCGACAGCTAAGGACTTGAGCTTATAGCATGGCGGGTTGTGATGGCGGGCACCATCGTCATAACGATAATTATAATTGGCCGTGGTGGATCACTGTTTGGGGGGCTCGGCTGCTGACGCTGAAGTCTCGGGCGCAATCCTGGCTGCTGCGGTCACATTTCGACGCAGGAGAAACGGCAGAGGCCGTGTCCACTTTGCTGTACCAGTACACGCCAAAAACACCAGATGGTCGTAATTTCAGGAGCCCTCCACTAAGGCACCTCTCGTAATTATATCTTGATTTCTGAGCGTAAGTCTCCAAACATAATAATATTTATTGATTATACTACTACACTAACATTACTGGGTCTCAAGCTGCGCCCTATGCTATTTATTGTAATAACGAGTGATATAAAAGGGTGGAACTTTATATGCATTCAGCTTCTCAGTATGATTAGGTGTGAAAAATATAAAAACTCCTTCTTTCATATACCTACATTAAGCTCTTCACTAACAAAATAATGATAGTAAGGAGCTTCTGCCTTTCCTTAGTCTATGTGGTGACCTCAGATAACAGCTGTAGACCACAGATGTGATGAGAAACTGTGCGACTGAATAACGGAGTATTTTCGATACAAATGGGTGATGGTGAACGCTCTCAAATTTTCTAATGACAAATATTTCTCTAGATATTTGAAATCAAAGCAAAATATTGTGACATTTTTCTAGGTATACAATTGTAAATGACAGCGCTGGAACGATGCAACAGCACCATGTTTAAGGTTTTGGAAGCAACAGTTAAAAATAATACGTCTCGCGCTTTAGAGGTAATACTGACACATTTCTGAGTCTCCAAAAAAGGAAAATTTTTTTGTTTTGTTGGAGCACACTGTTATTTAGGAAAACACAAATAAAAAAATTGGCTTTATATAAAGTTTTCTACGCCTAGCCTTTGCAAGGCAGCTTCGCAGAAACAGATGTCATCACGACGAGCCAACACCGTTCGCTGGGGTTAAGAGAGAGAGAGAGAGATAAAGATGCAAGGAAAGGCAGAGAGGTTAACCAGGCGCACATCCGGTTTGCTACCCTGCACTGGGGAAGGGATAAAGGCACCAATTTTGTTGATTTCAGCTCCATGTATGACGTGATGTTCTTAACCCTAGTGATTGTGTGTACTCTCTCTGCAACCTCTTTTCTCCCGTTTATCCCTCGCTGGAGTTAAGAACATCACGTCATACATGGAGCTGAAATCAACGAACTTGGTGTCAAAGTTTCAGGACGAAAGTTCGCCTATTCATATACACAGCATGTAACTGACGGTTGACGATGAAAATAGCGCTCATATATGTCACAATAATGACTGATGCCGTGTAACGTTCCTGAAAGCATGATGTGATCATGAGAGACGCCGTAGCAAGAGGCTCCAGAAATCGCAACCACCCAGGGTTCTTTAACGTGCAACTAAATATAAACACACGGGCCTGAAGCACTTGCACCTCCATCGAAAATGCAGCCGTCGCGACCGGGAGTCGAACCCGCGTCCTACGGGTCAGCAGTCGAGCCCAATAACCACTAGACCACCGTGGCGCTGGTTGTTATACGTCATGAGTTTCTGTGCCTACGTCAGGCTGTGTTGAAATTTTATTGTAAAACCAGTGGTAAATTTTTAAGGCAGTGGTCTAAAATATGTTTCATGCATTGACACCACAATATTCATATGGGGGTTATCGACACAAAGTGGACTATATAGAGCAAAAAGACAAAAATTTTCTAAAATAGTTCAGTACTCCATGATATTACTGACAGTATTGAGATATTGGAAACAAACTCTTTCCTGTTTTTTTCCCAGGCCTGGCTATATCTGTAAACTGCTTCTCCGTGAAAGCATCTGCGAGAGTTCAAGACATCTTCTCCAGCATCAAGTGTATCATTTTGATATCAGTCATTATTACGGGAGCAGTATTCGCTTCGACTACTACTCGTAAGTAAAGACGTGTCGGGCTTCTGGTTTGCTCATCGCAGTAAAGTTATGTGCAAGTACATTGCATGCACATATAAAATAAGCCAAAATGTAGGTGAAACCCGAGAAATATTGCATGTTTTAATGTACCCCTACATTTAGGCCCTTTATTGCTCACTGCTATCGAAACCACCCAAACGCAAGCGGCCTCTCTACCTGAAGAGCTGCAAGAGCTGGAAATCTCTGGTTAGATTGCCCTGCCTCAATAAAGGTCTGAAAATGTTGAGAGACAAACCATTTCTACGTATTTCATTCTAAAATCGAACTTAAAAAGAAGACTACCAAACTTCCTCAAAGCTACGTCTAATCCAACATGATTCGTCTGCTTTTAACTGCAAACAGTCGCGCTGGTAGCTACCGTTAAAATGACGTGCAAATTCTGCCTTTACTTCTCAACTACACGTAAAATAGAGCCTCCCGAATTTCCCTGCATGTAGTAAGAGAAACATTTTTTTGCAATGAGCTACGGTAGGAAAATTTTTCCTCTCAGAATAGCACGTATACAACATGGCTTTCATTTCAGGCAACAATTTTCAAGGTGAAGGCATATTCAACAAGCCGGAGTCTGCCAGCCGACTAGTCCTCGCGTTTTACGGTGCACTCTTCTCTTACGGAGGCTGGTGAGTGGAGCTGCGTAGGGGCTGATACGTCCCACACGTCTACATTCAGAATCACTGGGCATTCTTTTTCTTACAGCTGAAAGTATATATTTTACGCTAATGCATCTTCCTTACGCTTAGACTACCATCAAGACAAATAAATATAACTTCAAAAGAAACAAATTTCTTCCTAACCTTCTTGAAACAGCTCGTTAGTCAATGTAATTCCATTTAGGAAAAACGGTTCTTTGAAAATAACTCAGCAAATAATGTAATCACATAAAGCAAAAAAGGAGAGCTTCATTCAGGCAAATTACGGCCCTGATTCATACTTCTCTCGAAAATATTACAGGCCCACCATTAGCGTGACAGGTTGTAATGGCTCTCGGGTGACGTATTTAGGTTTGACAGTGTGATTAAGTGGGCTGGTTAGTGTTGGTTGGTAGACGAATAAAGCAGCGCTGAAGACGAAACGAGAAGAGAACTCATACGTGGCGCTGATAGCGCCATGTTTGAGCGTTTTTCTTGTCCCGTTCTTACCACTGTTTCAATTTTCGCCGACGCTTCTATCCCAATTCATGAGTAATATTGATAATCTCACAACTTATGGCATCTGCACCTAGCGACACTACGTTCCTTGCGCCGAATCTGGAGTTCATCATTGAATGAGTGTTGTTAAACCGTATCAAAAAGTCTCTAAGAAATGCCTTGATTTGCCTGGAGAGGTTCGAGTCCATGGCTAGCACGACTGATAAGTCATGACATCAGCAACATAAGTAATCATGAGTTGCGTTATGAGTGACAAAACGCTGACCGAATATGAAAGTATGAGTCAGGGATAAGTGAGTGCAAGACACTTTTGGAGAAATCATGTGTAGTCACAACCACGTTCAATATGCGAGTGGGAGCATTCGTATCCGCATTCTAGATGTGGGTATGAGCTAGCAAAGAGAATCAAATTCTTGGAACCAGTGCTATTAAGGGCACTTCACTGAGCCTTTAATGTCCCGAGAATTTCTTTGTGTGAGCAGTCATAGTAAAATACAGCAGAAAACATTAGTCGATTGCGTGCATTGCTAATATTTGGCCACACGTATATACATAGTAAATATGGAGCAAACTTGTTCGTTAGAGGATTCAGAATTGATCACAGAAACTTCTATTCAGTGTCGCTAAGTTGCATGTCAATCGCAAAAATATTCCATCCTTTTAAATGCCAAAGCACTTTTAGCGTATCTATCTATCTATCTATCTATCTATCTATCTATCTATCTATCTATCTATCTATCTATCTATCTATCTTATCTATCTATCTATCTATCTATCTATCTATCTATCTATCTATCTATCTATCTATCTATCTATCTATCTATCTATCTATCTATCTATCTATCTATCTATCTATCTGTACGAGTACGTCTGGGCATTCTCATGATCATTTCCTTCTCTCGACACCCAACAAAGTTTCCAAAAGAGGTCATTGGTGTAACACGAACAGTATCAACAGGTCATTACATCAACTGCGTGAGCTACCTGACACGTACGTCATGAAACCTTTCCTTCTGTCACGTGTGGCACATACCCACATAAGAAGGTTCATAAAAGGCGGGTATGAGCCGGAGGTGATTGACAGCGTATTAAACTAAGATAGGCGTTCATAAAGCTTCAAAAATTTTTTACATTATTGCGTTATGAAGCTGGTGTGGCAGGCGTCAGCGGTATTATAGATGAGCAAAATATCAGAGGAACGGAAGGGGAGAAAATCTTGTTTAAAGCCATAACTCAACGCCGGCATTCTGCGCGACCAAAAGCCTGCGCATGGTTCCTCGTCCGGGTGGGGGCGAAAATTCGTCACAGCATCCCCCTGCCTATCATGTCATTGTATGGGGCTGATTTTGCGCCCCCCTCCCCAAATTCCTAATGTTTGAGGCTGGCTTGTCTCCACACTCTCGCCCCTTCTGCCCACTCGCCGCAAGGATGCCTGTGCGTGACAGTCAAGTAAATTTCACAGAGCTCCACCAGCACTTCGAGAATCTTGAGAGAAAAGGTCAGCTGGACGCCGAGTGCACTATCGGGTTTTATAACAGTATAATAGGCATTACACATAACCTCTGTAATTCGGCAAGCTATGGTACACCAATGCACAACCAGTATGGTAATTACGCGCCCTATGATATGCACATCATAGCACCGTAGCCTGCAACTTATTTACATAAAGCTCAAACTGTGATCTCATGTGAGTACTATCCTTACGTAGGACCATAGGATACTCCTTGGGCGTCAATTTAGCCTACATGCCTACTAAAACCGCGATAGATCCCATAGCCGGAGGTGAACAGTGGGAGAAGAAAATACTAGAAGCCAACCCGCCTTCCCGTGCTGTTGGTTCTTCCAACAAATACTGTCTTTAAAACGAGTGTTTACCTTAAAGAGTCAGAGCTTTCACCGAGTAAAGACCTTGACACGCCAGGCACAAACTTTCTCCCTACGGGCCTTCCCCCTATATACCCATATCTACTCGAAATTCACAGCGAAGTCTGTCGAACTCACTAGGCTTGACTGAAACAAAAACAATCTGTAGTAGAAACCACTTCCTTTGTTAATTTCTTTATGTTCCAGGAAGCAAATATGCCTCATCGCTGAAGAGGTCACCGAGCCAAGCAAGAACATTCTGAGGGCCACCCTGCTCGGCATCCTAACGGTAACCGCAATCTACGTGCTCACCAACGTCGCCTATTTCGTCGTCCTCGACTCGTACACCTTCGCGAGCTCATGAAGCGATCGCCGTGTCCTTCACCACCGCCACCTGGGGAGCCAGAGCCGCCGTCGTGATACCAGTGGCCGTCTCCATAAGCACCTTCGGCACTGTCTGCGCTGGTTTCTTCAGTTCCGCACGCGTCATCCTGGCGGCGTCCAGGCAGGGACACCTGGCGCCCATCTTCTCCTGCATCACGGTTCACTCGTCCACCCCAGTGGCCGCCATCATGCTCCGCGGAGCCCTAGCCTTGGGCTACACATTTATTGGTTCTATTTCATACATCGTCGAAGCTTCCGTGTTCTTGGACAACGCGTGGGAAATCGCAGTGCTCCTGTGCCTATTCTGCTTCCGGCCGCACCATGAAGGAGGCACACAGACCATACGCTGTTCCGCTGCCCCTGGCGGTAATCAAGTTACTAGTGTCGATTGCTCTGTTCGTGATACCCTTACTGCGACCCGTGGACTACGTGCAGTACTGTGGTCATCCTGGCCATGTTAGTCGCCGGTGGTGCTTACTATACGGTGTTCGTTGTGTTCGCACACAGTGTTCCCGGAAGTGAACACGTCACGCGGTTTCTCCAGAAAGTTCTGGTTTCGGCGCCGTGCACGAACGAGCTGGAGATCATGTTGAAAGAGAAGATGTGACAAACGTGCGTCTGTGCTGCAAACGAAGGCGAGGGCAACTCTCTGTGAATGTACTTCAGAACACGTAGTGCCCTGAACACCGGGAGAAACGTGTGCCTTGTGTTTATTTTGTATTCTGTCTGATTAGTGTGGTAAATTGAAGTACGATAAACTACCAACACACCCAAACACCCTTCTTTCTCTGTGAATGATTTCGGCATCCAACGTACAGAATATATATACATACTCATTTTGTTTACGATTTCACGTGTGCCAATGGTACTGCCGAATTTAGTCAGGTATGCGTTGCGAATACATTAGACACAGCTGGTGCCTAACATGCCCATGAAAAGTCCTCGATTTTTGCAGCTTTATAGTTCGGAGTATCCTTTTAGACAAAAAAAAATATTTGGAATGTTTTTCTGGTTCAAAACGTCGTCTACTTCACGTGTTTTCTTTGCGTTATCACCGAGGGCCCTCTACTTCCCGATAGCGAATCGCATGCGGTTATCAGGATGGCATAGCACTCGGCAGGTCATACTACAGCGGCACATGCTTTCGAGAAAGGAAACGCAAGCAAGTTCGAAGACGATTATTGTAGTGTGACAAAAAGACACCTCAAATGACCCGTTGCCCTTAGGAGAATATGAAGAAGGGTACAAAAAAGGCAGGAAACCTAGTTATACACCATTTCATACATCAGGTGCAACGTTGTGGTTGCTATGGCAGAACTTCCGTGATCAAAAATGCGTAAGTCCGCGTGCCATGCGCTAGAAATTTGTTGTTGCAAATGAGGCATCTGCGATTGCCTTGAACGTCGCGCTACGAAAACGGATTGCTGAGGCCACTATAGGGAAACAGAGATGCTTTAGAACAACTGATTGAGAACCGTGTAAACAACTTGAGCTGTTATATTTCTATAGCAGATAATATTTTTATTTATTACTCGCCTAAAAAGAATTCCTATCAATTAATTGGAAGAAATTATCATGGAACAATTTTATGAGATCAATGCAAGTACTGCCAGAAGTCTCGCTAGCCTCCATAGCATAGCAACTGATGTATAATGTGGAGATTAGGGCAGAGTCCGGAGGCTATCCTGCACTGGTAATAAAATGGAGGGGAAGGAAATTTAGAGAATGGTAGATCAAGGAATGTAGGAAGGAAGGAATCAGGAGAATGAAATAGAGGTTAGCCAGTTTTAAGACCGGCTAGCTATCCGTGGCTAGAGAAGGGAGATCAAGGTTTTTGATAAGAAAGGTGGGTGCGTTTACATACCGTCGTGATCGATATTGTGAAGCATTAATATTGGTTGGCCTTGTATCTCTGTGAACCGAGCTAAAATATTCAAATAGCGCCTTCGCATGTTCGCCCTAGTCTATCGCGTGTGTTCTCATATAAGGCTGTTTGTGACGTAAGATTCTAATAGATTTTTTCGTCAGGACAGCTCAGTTTCAAATACTGTTCTTCGCGTGGAAGGCCTCGGCTTTTGCCAAGCTTCCCGACAATTCCGTGACTTCTCACCCTATTCGGAATATCATTGCCCTGCATAATGCCGCAGGCATGCTTGCGTCTAACATGTGGGGCCATAGCCATATACTAAGCCTCGTTGCGATAAACAATGAGCTGCGGTTTCCTTGCCTGCCTTGTTCACCCGCATAGATACACAACCAACTCACATGGCGTGTGTAGGGAATAATGAATATTATTGGCTATATGTACTGCTAATTCTAGTTACTGCGGATCTAAAATTCACAAGTGACTGCAGATGTTTGGTTGTTTGGTAAAAGTTAAGAATTTAGTAAATATAGTTATTATAGTTTATAGTGCCTTATTCCGGTTGTACGTAAACAATGTTATAGCAGCCAAACTGCCGTTCTTTGGGTGCGACGATGCTCTACAACGTAATGCTAACTTCATTCTCTCTGCATATTTTTGCTCTCCTTCGACCTTTATTTCCATTCGTATTCGTACTTTATAGTGATTGGCTTCGTAGTCTCCTTACTTGGGTTCACTTTGGTCAGCCGATTTCACATTATACGGAGACAAGCGGTGCAGTGCTGCACGCAAGCATCGCCCGATCCGGGCCACGTTTTTTTTAGCAATGATTGGCTCTTTTTTGCAGCTTCTGTAAGTGAGCCAATAATTATCAAGAAATGTGATCGGAAGGAAGCCCGACCGCAATCAAAATCGTCCACGCGTAAAACCGGGCATTATTACACGTTCTTGAATGAATGAGCAGTTTCACGTTTTTTCGGCGAAATGTATGGATAATCGAAGCGAAGCTGGTCCCATACCGCCTGACAACGCTTGGCTGCATTGCAAAATTAAAAAATTAAAATATATATAATATTAGTGAGAAGAATAATTGACAAGGTTCTGCATCCCATAAAACCACGATGTAATGATAAGGCACTCAGTCATGAAGGGCTGCAGAAATGTTGGCCATCTGGTGTTCTTTAGCGCATATATATATATATATATATATATATATATATATATATATATATATATATATATATATATATATATATATATATATATATATATATATATATATATATATATATATATATATATATAGGGAAGGCCGTGCCACGTAGAGCCTGATTCCCTGACGAAGGCCGTGCCACGGCTGAAACGTTGGCATAAAAGTATTGCTCTTTCGTACGTGTACTCGCTTGTGTTCTTTATACGTACCAGACCCCTTGAACTTCCTGCTGAATATATATATATATATATATACATATATATATATATATATATATATATATATATATATATATATATATATATATATATATTTATATATATATATATATATATATATATATATATATATATATATATATATATATATATAATTGCAGGGAATAAATTCTTGGACGCCGGTAAATAGTATGAAAAAAAAAGGAGACACACGTCGAAAAACGGAAAGGTTTCTTTACGTTTCGGCCGTGGGACCGGCCGAAACGTGGTTATTCTGACGAAGGCCGGTCCCACGGCCGAAACGTAAAGAAACCTTTCCGTTTTTCGACGTGTGTCTCCTTTTTTTTCATATATATATATATATATATATACATATATATATATATATATATATAGATATATATATTTATATATATATATATATATATATATATATATATATATATATATATATATATATATATATATATATATATATATATATATATATATATGTGTGTGTGTGTGTGTGTGTGTGTGAATAGTATATTATCACTATTATGTAAGCTGAGCCACATTCTGGCTGTGCAACATTTTTACGTTTTATCTTTAACTCTTAATTACTACAGCTAACACACGTAGAGCCTGGTTAACAGTGTGGTACATGGTATATACATGTACATGACGTTCCCTTGTTTCTGCGTCCCAATTGTCAGGGCCAACCCGTTAATACTGTTTGTGTAATGTATTGTGCGATGCGTTGTGCGGGAGGTACTGGGATTGACACCCAGCATCTCCACCAAAATGTTGCGCATGTATTTTACTACTTTAGTGTGGAAAAGTATTCCAGCAGTCAAGATGGCGGCTGGTGTATTTTCCTTTGAACATCAACACGTCGCCGTTCTCTTGTTCGCACAACCCCGCATTGTGATAGCCGCAACCCTGCGATCATTTGTCTCGTTCGCGGGTGAGAGCTGACTGTGTTGAACCATGCGTGCCGATAAGGATTTAATTTAGGGCTGAATTCGAGTATTGGCCCCCACAGGGATGAGACACGCTTCGGATGCCCAGCCACGGCTGTCGCATTTATAGGTGCGGACCGAAGGAGCACTCATACATTTAGATTACGGTCTGCTTCGAAGAACGTCGGCTGTTTAAAAATTAGTCTGCACTGCTCCGCCACGACCTTGCTGGTCATGACGATAGTTATAGCGCGAGAAAAAAACGACGACACAGAGACAAGAAGGACACGAAGGATCTTGTCTCTGTGTTGTCGTTTTGTTCTAGCGCTATGACTATCGTCATGCCATACGAACTAGCCCAAATCTGCCACACTTCTTGCTGATCAACTGTGAGCTGTCTGGCACGTCAACATTTGTGTGTGCGCCGTTGTGTGTTTGTGCATGCGTTTGTGTGCTTGTACGTGAGAGAGAGAGAGAGAAAGAGAGAGTACTCGAGCAACATGCTCCGCACTCTCCGGAGCCGGCTGCGCTTAGCCATTGGTCTGGGCTCAGCTTCATGCTGGCAAAAACTGCCCGCGCGACGCGTAAAGGCCGCGCTGTTCGTGCGTTCTTGACAACACGGAAAATGCGGCGCAGTGTGTGCTCTGTCGCTCGTCACGACCGTAGCCTTTGTCGGAAGACAAACTGGAGGACAGGGAGCGTTTCCAAGCATGAACGCTGTTTGACCAGCTGCGTTTCAGGCCATTGCGAGTGCATGCAGCACGGCTGTTCTGCTCATCCGTCGTCGGTGAGCTCTGCTCCTGTTTCTTTGTTTTCTTATGTAAGAATTCCTGACAGGGTGCGTAAAATACTTCAAAACCTTATGCTTTCTCAGTGCTGCGGGTAGTCGGTAACTGCGACATTCTACAAAAAAAATGTTAAAAAATGTAGTAAAGATGACATAACAAATAAATTTACTGCTAGTAATAATATTAACAATCACATGAAGAAAGAAGAAAAAAGATCAATGAAAAGAGAAAGAATTCTTAGAAAATTAGAAAAATAATAATAAATAATAATATTAACAATAACATGAAGAAAGAAGAGAAAAGATCAATAAAAGGAGAAAGAATTATTAGAAATTAGAAAAAGAGAAAGATTATTCACGGTCATTGTTTTAAATTTTGTTTACTTCTGTCATCATCTATTCTTAGCTCACCCCTTTTCTAAACAAAAAAAAAGACCTTTATTTAAATCACTAGTTTAATCAATAATTTAAATCACTAAGTTTTCGTCTAAACAGGAGCCGAATACTCAAGGAACAAGCAAGCAAACAAACAAAACCATGATGTAATTTCGAGGGACCTCGTAGGAGGAACTGAGTGAAAACTTCATCGAACAATGTAAGTGGCATTGGGTGAAGATGGGCAAAGAGCAACAACGCCTACGTGATGGCCTCGGTTCCTTCGACATGAGAGGCTGCCTCGGCGTGCCAGACAGCCACCGTCGATCAGCGAGGGGCTGGCTAAGCAGTCCAGTCTACTTTTAATCACCCGAGGTTC